TACTACTATAATATAATCCTTATTTTTAAATATTATCAAAAAAAATTTTATTTAAATATTTTAAATTTTAAAAAAAGCAATTTTCCAGGTAAATTTGCCTGGAATTGTCTACAGTTTAAGATATAATATTTTGTAATATAGTAGTTCAATATAAAAAATTTTGGTATTATTCAAATTGTCTTATTGGAAGAATTTAAATAGTGCCAAAATATTCTATATTAAACCACTATATTACAAGATATTGTGATTAAATTAAACTTATTTTAATTGTTATTTTATATAAATTTAAATCTCATTTTGTATAAATTTAAATATCATTTTGTACAAAATTAAATATTATTTTGTATAAAATTAAATATTATTTTGTATTAAATTAAATATTCTTTTGTATAAAATTGATATCAAAAGAGATAAAATACCCACTTTTTGTTAAAAATTTTTATAAAGTTAGTAAAAAGTAAAAGAAGAAAAAAATATACTTAAAACTACTAAAAAAGTGTAAGTTTTCTTTTACTAAGGATTAGCTATCTACTAAAGATTTACACAGCACTAAGTTTTTTTAATAAGTGATAAACTCTAAGCTTGTTGGCAAATAGTATATAAAAATTACTTCTAAACTATAAATAAGGATGAAATTATTTTGGGCTTTAAAACCCAAAATTAAAATTTGAAGACGAAATTGTTTTAATTTACTTTTACTTAAAAGATGAAATTTTTTGATACTTTTTTTAAATAGATGAAATTATAAGGAATATAATTATATAAATTAGATTTGCTTTTTCTTATAAAAAATTTAATTTGCTTTAATGAAGACGAAATAGGCTTTTTTTGAAAATCTATTTTCATAGTATCTATATTCTAAACAACAAGTGTTATAACTTTTGCAATAAGTAATAAACTCTAAAACTATTAGTAGATAGTATATAAAAACTATTTCTAAATAATAGCTGCTAATTTATAATTCTATTTTTCATGTCTTATATTAGAACCTACAGAGTTTTGCACTAGTATATTGTATTTTTTCTTATTAATAAGAAGTATTTTGAAAATATAGTTTAAATGATTGTTAAAGAGAGTATAATGAAAATTAGATATAAATCTATAATAATAGTTAAATATAATATAGTATTATGCTTTAATAATAATAGATATAATAGTATATTTTAACTTTTATAAAGTTCACAAGCTTATGTTTTTATTGCTTTATATTACTTATCTATTTACTAACAGTATATATTTATTTTTAGAAAATTAGATAAGTTATAAATAAAATATATTAATATTGTAAACTTTTTGAAAAATGACTCTTTTTATGAAGTTTAATACATTATAAATTATACTGATTAAATTGAAACATTTAAACATACCTTTTATCTAATTTCTAAATTACTTTGTCAATTATCAAATTACTTTGGTATGTTGTTAAGCTAAAGGTATAGTTTCTAAATCTTTATATTATAATCTTCCCTAATTCATACTTATAACTCTGATTTCATTTTTGTACACTCTTGTAATAGCAAATTGTTTTATCTTTTATATCTTTTCTACTTTTTATACCTTTATACCTTTTAGACTTTTGTTGTTTTTTTTACTTTTTATACTTTTTATATGTTTTATACCTTTATATTAATTGTATTTTATATAATAATAGCATTTTTTTAGTATTTGTAAAAGTATATAAACCCTAGCTTTTTGCTCCTGTAGCTTTAGGATTAGTTCTTTGCAATCTTTAGTTATTAGAGTTTTTTAGACACAGATATTTATTGATAGCTTTGTATCTTAAATATTGTATCATTGATAAATATATACCTTTTGCTCTTTGAATAAATTATAAATAAACTATACCAAACTGCCCTAGTGAAGTAACATTTCACTTTCACACCATTTTATATCTCACTCTGTTGTTTACAAGATCCCTGTCACCATGTGCTGTGTTGTAAGTACTATATTGTTAAGAAGGCTATAGTTATTTGTAACAATACTATTCTTTAAATATAATTTTAAATTCTGGCCCTAATATATTTTATGATTTCTATAAATACAATTTTTCTTGTTTTTTAAACTGTATAAATTTAATTGTAAATGATAGACCAACAAAAAACGTTATAAAAATCGCCCTGGTAAATTTATGATGCATCATTGTCGCGGCTGATGCTGAAATTTTGACCTATATTATTATAAAATTTTAAATTTTTTTGGGCCTTTTCGTTAGGGGGTTTTTTTTAAGGTTAGGATAGGGTTTAGGGTTAGTGTTGTTAGTAAAAAAGTATGTGAATTTTAGTAGGTATTATAGATTTAAATGGGGACCCTAAATTTCAGCATCAGCCGCGACACTCATTTATATGTAATTTTTTGTTAAAGTGCAAGAAACTTTGCTTGCCTTAATATTTGTTATGGATTAAACAAAATATATATTACGTGAGAGTCATCTAATTGCATCAAATATGTGCCACTTTCTACTACTGTATGTAGAAACATACCAATTAATTGATATGCTGATTGTTAGTGTGGCAACGTATTCGAAAATTTTGTGACTACAAAGTTATATGAAGTATCAAATATTCGTTGAGAAATTACAATTTTTGTTGATTTTAGATATTTTGCACTATACAAACTATGTAAATTATACAAATTTTCTACCAAAATCCCCATTATAGATTCAAATAAATATTCTAGTAAATTATTTGATATCGTAAGTAATATTCTTTTTAACGAGAATAAATATTATTATAGTGATTTATTCATGAATTTCCTCTTTTGAAAACACATCCACCATTTGCTAGGTTTACCATCAACATATACCCTATCAACCAATCTGGTAGCTAGCTCTTGTCGAAGTTGAGTTAAATATTGACGCAGAAGATCTAAGAAACAATAATAGCAGTTAAATATATTAAGCCATTATTAAAAAAAGAATAATAGAACTATTACTGTAGAAATAATTATGAACCTGCATCGTTTCTATTTGCCGGATGAGTATACAACGCATTCAATGGAAACGTTGGATCACCAGGTAACGCAAAATGATCTGTTGCTCGAGTGCTCAAAATCTTTAATGCTTCTTTAGATGAAGGATTCTTAACGAGCTTATTCAAACAATCAGAAATGAACAAAATAAGATAGATTAAAACTCGGTCTGCATCGCCTTTGATTTCAAAGTTGCGAAATAAACAATTTGCGCGAAAGAGATCTAAAGCTTCGTCAACAATGTCGTCGTCGGATGGGGGTGCTTTAGTCAATCAGTAGATGTTAATATTGCGACGCGAAAAGGACATTATTATATGTTGATTCAATTAAATAATCTCACCTGGTGTTGCAGGACCTCTAAATTTTGTTTTTATAGGTAACAGGACCATGTTACCAATTACACGATATTCAGTTCTTTCATTAAATTGGGAATGATATGCCTACATGTTTCATTTACAAATGCAAATTCTTAATAATCAGCATAAGTAGTGAGAGTAACGACTTTCACTTACCGGCATGGTTTATAGAAGTTTTGTTAACTGTCGTGCACAGATTAAAAGACCGAAGTTTTTATTCACGTGTGAATTTAAATCTGATGGCCTAAATAAAAGGCCCAATTTTGCCAATCTGTTAAGAGTATAGATGAATTTTGGTACTTCCCCAAAATTTAGCATCAGCCGCGATATTAAATAAGGCGTTAATTATCTTTATTATACGTATGACGCATTAAAATTTTTTTGATATTAGGCATTTACAGGTACGTATGCGTATATTCTTTATTCAACATAATCATCTAGCATGACATTATCGCCACAAAAACTTAAATTGTAATTGCACCTATTTCTACATTCATATATTCATGTCCGCGAACGTCATAATCAAGCAAGCTATAATAAATTGCCCTCACAATTCATAAATGCATCACGTAAAAATAAGAATTCCAGAAGAAAAAATACATAAGAATTTCGTAATGTTAGTGTTCCCCAAGGCGATAACAATATGGACCAATTAGAATGGCCCGAATAAAGTCCACACGATTGGTCCATAGATCCACTATATTAACTTCAATAGTACGACACTGCTGTTGTGTACCCATGATCTTCAACCAATTTAAATTTTTGACAGGATGCTCGGCTTTTACTTAATTAACAATTTCTAATCTAGTTGCGAATTTCCTTCCAAAAAGACGAATCTTTCTTTTTTTGTCTTTCACAGTTTTAATTTTTATTATTCCTTGATAAAAGAATTCTTGATGGATAGGTACGTTCGACATAATTTCTGATCATATAAAAATTTTAATAAATACTGATGTAATACTTTTTATATAGCCTCGACTTTGATCTACATGAGTTGATCCTAGACCAACTGGCAAGTATATTAAGTATTGATGTAGATACAACAAATGAGGATGCATTACGTTTAGCAAATCGATGTCCCGAATTACCAACAGACAAGGATCCTGGCATTGGCAAACCGCAACAGTCTATCGGCTTTATAGTATGTTTGAATTTAGTGCCAGCATATCAAACTTTACATTTTTATTGTTTTTTATTTCCAGTTCAAAGTTTTATTGTTTACATCAAATATAGACGAAGTCATACCGACAAAATATATCAGCATTAGCTTCATTTGCTCACCAGTCCCAAGCACTCGTTCATAATGATTGCCTTCAGGAGATTGGCAAAATTATTGATATGATAATCCATTCTTCAGATCCTGCACATGTTTATATAAAAAAATTCTTAGCAAGATATCAATCTCAAGGATATCCACTATCTACTAATGGAATCATATTGGGTCTTACCATTGTAATGAGAAGCATGCTTACACGTGCAATATTTGTACTGGAAATAAAA